CGACCAGGTGCGCGGGGAAGGCAGGGCGCGAGCAGCCGCCGGCGCAGATCTGGCGCGGCCGCCAGCGCGCGAGGTGGAGGTGAGGCACTGCATGGATCCGGCGCAGCCCCTGGCGCGAGAGGTCTCGGCGGGGAGCGGAGGGACACGCGGCTGGACGTGAGGTGCTCGCGCTGGCCATCTGCCTGCTGGCGGCGGAAGTTTGCCACCGTAGGGCCGGCGCGTCAGGTGGCCGTGGTTCGCGCTTGTATGGCTACGTAACGCGCCTGTTACGGCTGCATTTGCCGCATGGAGGATGTGGTGGTGGTGTCGGGGGTGGCTGGTGGTTTATCTCCTTCAAGCGTGTCCACGTCCGGCTCATTTGAGCGGTTGCGTCGTTCAGTTTGTCTAGCTACAGGAGGCTCGGGCAGACCAGATCCGGTACAAGTAGTCTTGCTCTTGCGGTTGTGCGGGCTGTGCAGTTTGGCTTGGTTTTCGCCCTGTTCTTGCGCGCGGCGGTGCTGACCATCTATGTCCGGCTCCCCCCTCGGCCTTGCCGGTGCACTGCGGTGCGGAGGATCGCCCAGTTCTGCGCACGGAGGTAGAGGGTGGCCAGATCCGGCTTGGCTCGCCCAGGCTTGCGTGCGGCGGTGCGGACCAGTCAGATTGATGTGTGCTCGCTGAGTTCCTGCGTGCGGCATTGACCAATTCGTTTCTGGTAGTGTATGCCTGGACTCGTGCTACTTCATGGCGCTGGTGGCCTCGGATCCGGGATTGTTGGTGGAGGGCACAACTCTGGACGAAAATCTTGCATCGACCCTGTCGTTGCCGGCGATAACGGCATCCAAGGATGTCGTCTTCCTCCTTGGAGGTACTGTTGTGGAGCCGTTGCTCTTCCTACCCAATGGCGTGAGATCTCCGGGTGAAAACCTAAGATCTGGTAGTGCCAGATCGGGTGACGACGATGCCTCAACATCGTTATCCTCCTTGGAGGCGTCACCTTGGAGATCCCGACGATGGATTCCGATGGTGTTCACCATTGATGGTAGAATTTGGGTTTGTGGTTCCGCCGACGGGGCCTTTTTCCTTTCTTTTCTTTTTGCGCTGCCTTTTTGCGGTGCTTTCCCCTCTGAGGATCTCTTGTAACGCTTCTTCTGATCAATGAATTTGGCAATTCTCCTGCCAACATTCAAAAAAAAAACACGGCAACCCCTTTGCCGAGTTGATTTCTCGGTTAAGCGTATTTGGCGTACACTTCTTAGTCAAACAGGATTTTACCGAGAACCGTCCATCGGGATACTCGGTAAACTTGTTGCCGAGAACCAAAAGGGTACTCTCGGCAAAATAAAATGACTTCATGTTCATCAGGTCTTTGCCGAGAGCCAGAATCGCACTCGGCAAACACTTTCCAAGTTGTCAAGCGCAAGCTATCAGCTTACCTTGCGCAAGCAACTCACCATATATAGAAACTTCCTTTTGCCGATATCAATGCCATCCACTCGGCTTACCAGGCATTAGCAACTCCCAGATAGTACCTTTTGCCGAGCACCTCCTACTTGTTCTCGGCAAAAGGGAAACCAAGCTGTCAGTGCCTGCCACGTGTCCTGGTTTCCGAATACTACACTCAGAAAAGATAACTTTGCCGAGTTTGACTCTCATAAAACGGCTTTGTTAACCTAATTTTATTTGTTTTTCATATAACCCTATAACAAAAACAGATATAATTGTAATATCCGTTAAGAATGACAAATAAAAAATTTATATACTCAATACGGATCACATACATAACATCAAGCTCACAAAAACATCATATATGGTCTACACAACCTTCATATGAAGTCACCAAGTAGATATTTTGCAGGAGTGCATGCTCACTAAACAACAAGGTGGACAATACGTGATACATACAATCACATGATAAAAATAGCATCACAATCAGGACAAACTGAAAGATCATTATCAAGTTTTTGAATCCACTCAACCTGATAAGCTGGCTTGTACCATTGACTATTCATGTTTAGTTGCTCTTCTCATCGAGATAGTTGGAGTAATGGTTCTCTGCCTCCTCCTACTATTGAATAAATCAAAGGATCTACCTTTGTAATGAATCACTTGTTCATTGCAAGCGGACCATGAATCATAGACTCGTAGACACCTAC